TGTGTGTGTGTGTGTGTGTGAGAGAGAGAGAGAGAGAAATTATTGAGAGTAAATTTCTGTTAAGTGCTTGGTAAAGGAAGATAAGCTTAAAAATGCTAATTTATTTGAGGAACGGTATCCCTAATTGAATGTTGTCTTTTTAAGGTTTTCCTCGTAGTGGCAGTCTGGATGTAATTCCATCAAGAGAAACAGATCAAGGGAAGAATGCTGAGGTGGCTAACTTTGATTTGGGACGAAATAGTTTAGGTGACATGTTTTCTCCCATTAGAGATGGTAGGTTGATCATATGGAAAATACAGTAAGACAATGTGGAGATGAGTTCTTGCTTTGTCCTTCAGCACTTTTCCTGTGTTCCACGTCTCTTCCAATAAGGCAGAGAGGGATTAATGCCTTTAGTCTTGCACGTTCAACACAGGATACTAAATATTAGCATGCTTTAGAAAACAGAATTTTTTAGTAGGCAGATAGGAAAAGATTTTCATCAATGTGCTTTTAAAAATGAGAACTGCATTTTTCCATCTAGAAAGTATTGAAGGATGTCAGATGTCTACTGAAAATACTGTAGAAAAATGATCATTTTAAAAATTGCTGTTAGAGGTGGGTCTGATGTGCACAGCCCTGAACTAAGTTTTCCAAGCAGTCCAGAGTGTGAAGTCCACTTTAATTTTTAAGCTTGCTAGAATTGCACATATAAAAAATGTGAACATAGTGATCAAATAGCAGGGGGCCAAGTCATCGGAGAACTGAATATCTGTGTGAAGAAAAGTTGAAGCCTCTGCTTATGGCTCACTGGTCCAAGTTTCTATAAACATATGCATCAATATTAACATGGACCTGTAAATTTGTGAAATCCCTTTGAAGCTGAGAGTCTGCATGAATCCAGGCACTGTACCAATGTAGAAGCAGGAATATGAAATACAGAAACTATTATTAATTTATATTGACTCAGTATTTATTTAAATTTAATTTTATTTGTGCTAATATTTTGTAGATGTTGTTACTTATAAAGCAAATGAAGATGTTCCAGGAAAAGGAGATGGTAAGCAGTTTTGCAGTACATTTGTTTATAGCCTAGATTAAAAATAAATCTGGTTCTCCAAGACTTGTTATCAATTTATTCGTATGACTTCACTGAAAGGAAACAATATACACGGCAAATATTGATATTACTGGACTTTTACAGATCTGGTATAATGCATGGACAAACTGGAGCCCTACAGGCATAATTGGTGTACCACGAATTGTCCCACCATAAATATTCTAAGAAAAAGATTCCTTTAGGTAATCAGCAGTTCAGGATGTGTGTTTGCTTTCTATGCTTGTTAGTAACATTCATAAATTTATCATCAGTGCAAGCATATTGTTTCTCTTTCAGGTATGGATTTTCAATCTTACCTTTCTGGTTTGGATTTCCTCCCGCAATTGAACACTACATTTCCCATAAAAAGAAACCCTGTGGGTTCTAATGCCCCAGGGACACATAGTAGTCCATTGCATTTATTTGTTGGATCTCCGATTAAAGAAGAAGATGAACATTCAAATCAAGATGCTGAAGTTAAGAAAATAAGTCTTGGGATACAAGAATCTAGAGAATCATTCAAACAGGTATTAGACATTATTTGTCACAAGTAACCTTTATTTAGTATTTTTCTGTAGCCTTTATGATATGTTACAACTAGTTTTTTGCTGGTGGTGAATTTGCCAAACTGTTCAAGATACTAGGGCTGTGCGAAGCTTTGCCTGCCAATTCAATTCAGAGGAGATTCGGCCCAATTTGGGGGCCGAATCTCTGAATCCAAATCGAATCGGGAGACCTGCTAGAAGCTCTGAATCGATTCAGATGCTTTGAATCGATTGGGAAAAGATTCAGAGATTCGGAACAGTTGGAGAGAGGCAGGCACAGCCTGGCATCTGCAGGTTCCCCTGTGGCTCCTCTGGCTGTGCCTGCCTCTCCCCAGGCTGGGGGAGCTGTGGGGGAAGCCCCCATGGCTGCCCTGCCTGGCCCCAGCTTCCTGGTACAAAAAAAAAAAAGAGCCCCGCGTTCACTGGCCCCAGCTCCCAGACAGCACGCGGTGCCCCCGTGCTGAGGCAGCTGCCACATGGGTGCATGGTGAGGGGGGGTGATCACCGCTGCTCCATGCTGTGCGGGTGGGGTGGGGGGAGGATTGGTTCTGCCACAAGCCCTCAGAGGCCCTAATTACTGCTGCTGCAGCTAGTGAGTGTGGCACTTTTTTTTTTTTTTTTAAGTACCAGGAGTACGGGGCCAGGCAGGGCAGCCATGGGGGCTTCCCTAGCAGTCCCCCCACCCGGGGAGAGGCAGGCACAGCTGGAGGAGCTGTGGGAGAACCTGCAGCTGCCCAGCTGTGCCTGCCTCTCCCTGGCCAATCCAAATCACCCAATCTCTCCGAATCGGCACTAAATCTTTCAACGTCGAGTCAGCCAAATTGAATGGGGATTTGATTTGGATTCACCGATTCGGAGGACAGTGAGTCAAATCACTGTCCTCCGAATCGGTGAATTCAAATCGAATACTTTCTTATTTGCGCAGGCCTACAAGGTACTAAAAACATAACTTTTGAATGTCATGTTAACCTTACAGTTTTTATTTATGCACCTTTAGAAGAGATCTAACTATTGATCTACCTTTTTACGTATCAGTTTATAATTCATTTTTTTATAATCCTGTGCTCTGGATATGTGATAAAAGTTTACATGCTTTGCTGTGGCAGTACAGAAGGCAGGATAGAGATGCATCTCAAAGATTAACTAAATCAAAGATAATATATATAGTATAAGCTTACATGTCACCAGTAAATATTCAGTATAAAGTTATACGCTAAAGTCAAACTAATCCATCAGTTGCTAAATAGTCTGGTGTAATCATTTCTTGGTTTTAAAGAGCAGTAGATTATGTCTCTTGCCTAACTCATAGTAACCAAGAAGGGGAAAAATCTCTGTATGTGGCCACTGTCTTTACTTAGAACATAAAGTCTGTTACATAATTTCAATTCCAATGTAAAGTTAAGTTCTCAAGGCCACCCCTGAGAATATCTTGGAGGAGTCTTTTTGTTTGTTTTAAATAAAATAAAATTTATTTGACACTAGCATTTTAAAAAAAACAACAACAAAAGAAGTAATAGATCTTAAATATAAACAGTCATCAACTGTACCTGGGGAGTTGTAATTACTGCTTTTTCCCCCCCTTTTTGTGTATATATAAGCTTTTAAAATTGAGTTCATCATCAAGTGCTGAGTCTGGACATTCAAACCCTCCACCAGCATCCGCTGTTATCAAGACTCCTGAGGGAAATGAGAAGCTAGCAAAGAATATTCAGACACATCTAACATATGACTTGCCAGTGAATGGTATTACCTCAGCCAGTAAGTAGGTGGAATTTCTCCAGTTATATACATGGTATTGTTTGTGACACCTGATTTGGAAACTATTGAAAGAAGAAAGAAAATAGAATTAAGCACCTAGTGCTTACAAGTACTTTTCATATCCTGCTAGCCACTTGTTGGCATCACTAGCTGCTTAAATACTTTTCTCTTTTGACCCTTCGATTCCCAGGTCACTTAAATGTATTTGAATGTTTTACCCATAATATTAACAGCACACACATAGTTTCATAGTTTCTAGGGTCGGAAGGGACCTGAGCAGATCATCTAGTCTGACCCCCTGCCATGGCAGGAAAGAGTACTGGGGTCAAACGACCCCAGCAAGGTGTTCATCTAACCTCCTCTTAAAAACCCCCAGGGTAGGAGCCTGCACCACCTCTCTTGGAAGTTGGTTCCAGACCCTAGC